GATTCTTGAACTTAATGCTTGCATGCTTGGGGAATAACCGGGGAACTAGGGTTCTTCCAATATTGTAAAGGTTTTAGAGTAACAAGGGATTGAACTCTAATAACATGCGAAAGAATTGATTAGATTGATACTAAGGACAATTAACATTAAGAAGGAATTCAAACGTAATAAGGAGATTAAATGAAATCGAACCCGTAGCTACGTTCTTTTACATTCGTAAATCACATCTTTAATTTCTTGTCTTTAATTCTTGCAAGTAATTAGCTTTAATATTTAATATTTTAATTTTGCAATTCAAATCCTGTTTCCAAATACACTTTTGATTGTCCAACTTAAGTTGCGATAGTGAATTGGTGCTTGAACCGTAATCCTCGTGGGAACAATCTCTTACTTAATCATTATATTACTTGTACGATCGGTGCACTTGCCGTGAGTAGCCCAACATAGCTTCAATAAAATTTTATTGTACCACTATTGTTGGCTACCTCCAGATTGCTTTTCTTCTCAAAACGTTCTAGCACAAAATCATTTTTAATATTTGTCACTGCAATAAGTCCCTCCCTAGGCCACATCTTTTGTAGACGACTTTTCAAATAATCAAAAGAAACCTTCTTACCAAGGAGCTTCACAATCTGGATTTTCCTCCACGCCCTCAGTTTGAAATTCTCTGACAGCCTGAAGTAGTAATTTCATTGACTCCCACCTCAAGCCGCACATCCAATATAGTTGCAGTCAATATATTAAAGAGTAATAATTTATGTTAAGTACAATAATATTTATTTATAAATTAAAGTATATTTCAATTTATTATTTTATAAAATAGTCATAGGCTTTGATTATTCGAGGTTAAAGTTCGAAGAACACTTCAACTTGAAATTTGGTTCAATTACCTACCAACACTCCATCCGTCTGATCCTAATTTTTTTCAAATATTGAAGTATATTGAATTCAAATAATGCTTGTTTGATTTCATATTTGCTAATAGCTATTATCTTGTATACTAGGTGGGTGCATCCCTATAAAATTCGTCGAAATATGAATTTGTTCTTGATATTTTAAATATGGATTGATATGTTAAACAGTCGATCATATATCTATATATATTATTATCAAATTGAAGAAAGCTCATTTAAGCATACAAGTATGCACGTGACCTCTTGCAAATGAATAACATTTTTTGTGAATCATATGGAGAATAAAGTTAAAATTATCGACTGTAGTGAATGCATAATTACATTGTAGCAATGTCAATTAAATAATTGAAATCATTTGAAAAAACCATAAAATAAAGCAGTTCGGAAAATCTATTATGATGGAGAAAAACATTTAAATCCATAAATACTTTGGAAAAATACTGACAGAGCTGAAGAAAGAATTTAACACAAAAATTAAACACGCAGGTGCCAATATAGTACGCAGATTGAGCAAGAATCTGATTAATTAAAGGATAGTAAACACTAAAGTTTATTTAATTATTCTTACTAGTAGTTTTTTTTTTTGGTTACAACTTACTAGTAGTTTTGTTATACAATTTGATATTACAAATATGTTTCCTTATTAGAAATTGTGTCTGGGTTAAATTATTCAGCTTGCTAGGGACATAAGTGTTACATGGATTGTTACTGCAAAATAATCATTCTTAATTCTTATATATAATAGGTAATCAATTTTGGTTTACATCTTGTAGGAAGAGCAGGAAGAAATCGTGAAGACAAGATCACCCTCGCAGAAACAATTAACTCTTAAGAAAATCAAGCAAATGGTTTTTCTTTCTCAGGTATATTACAAAATGACATACACTTATAATACATTGCAAAGAAGATCTAATTTGGAACTGAAAAGAAAATATCAAATAAGTGAGAGAGAGAGACAAAAGAGAAAACAAAGAGAACGCAGCGCTGTGAGGGTTGTTTTTCACTTTGGGTCTGGCTGTCGGCCGGGACTTAGTCACTTAGGTCTTGGTGGGTGGTGTTGGCCTGTTGGGTTATGATTTAAAAAGAAAATTGTGGGTTAACCTGCCTCGCCCATAACCCGTTTAAACAAGCGGGTTTAAACGGGGTGAGCTGGAACGGGTTGATGGGTCAAGATGTGTAACCCGTTCCGTCCATATAAAGAACCATTTCAACCCAAGACCTTAAGGTGTTAGGTGAGAGCCTTTTTAATGATGGAAAAAATATTTGTCATTTTAAATGACATAACGTTATGTCAATTTAAGAGAGATATAGACACAAAATATCATTTTTTATTTAAAATTTAAATTTAAAAAAAAACTACTTACTCTCTCCCCATGATTTTCATTCCTTGTGTCTATCTCTCTTCTAAAATGACATAACGTATGTCATTTAAAATGATAAACACCAAATCCTTTAATGATTAGTATTATTCTCTAAGACGCCCCCTCACACGAGAGCCAACTGGGCTTAAAAGGTGGACATGCACAAGCCTACTTACCTGTGCGAAGAAAGAAATTCCACTAGAAAGAAAGTGGGGGGCGGAGAGAATCGAACCCGGTATACCGGAAGCTTTTTTTAATTTAGAGCCTCGGTATACCGGGTTCGATCCTCATCACCTCCACTTTCTTTCTAGTGGAATTTCTTTCTTTGTACAGGTAGGTGGGCATGTGCATTGTCCACCCTTCAAGCCCAGTGGACTCTCATGTGAGAGGGCGTGTTAAAATATATAAAACCATTAATGTAGCCTCACCACCTTTACGACTTGATATAATATATTTAATAAAATGAAAAATATTAAGGTCTTAAAAAACATGCCACAAGTTTATTTTTACAAAACTTGCACTTTGTACACAGGCCAATATTGTATTATTATTATTTTTTTGGAAATACCCAATATTGTATTATTTACTCATTAAAATAAAATAATTGTTTAAATAACTTCATGGGAAAAATACTTATCATTTTAAAGAATGGTCCTTTTCATTATAAGTGGTATTTTTATTTAAAAATTTAAATTAAAAAAATCTCTCATTTCCCCCTCATGATTTCCATTGTGCATTTCTTTATTTCTCTTAAAATGACACTTTATGTATTTTAAAATGATAAACATTAATCCCTAACTTTAATTAATAAAATAAAATATTTTATTTTATTTTATTTTTCGAATTTTTGAATGGTATTGAAGGTCTTATAGGCTTAAATAGGTTCATAGACTTATATCATACCTTTTATTTTTAGATATAGGTCAAGTCAGACCTACAAATTAATATGTATTAGACCAATAGTTTCGGCTAAATTCAAAATATTTTATATAAACTTGATCTATTTAGATCAAAACCTATTTTGACCCAATCCTTTCACGCATGTAACATCCTGATACACCACCATTCTTTTTGAACGTATCTACAAAGTAAGGGTGACAATTTGGGTTGATACAACACGAACATGACCAGACACAAATTTTAAAAACAGGTCAAAATCTCGACATGAATACAACCAGTTTAATTAACCAACCTCAAAGTATATCATTTATTATACGAGTCAACATGACACGGCAGTGCACATCATAACGCGACACTACACAAATAATCCTAAAAAAAATTAACGTGAGTCAATTTCGTATTTGAGGGTTAACATGATGCACAATACAATTTTTTGTGTCAGATTTTATCAACACAAACACAATATAAATTTAAAAACAAGTCAATTCAAATACAATTTTTTCATATCGTATGAATGGATTGCCTTAAAAATTATCACCTCAATCTTCAAGTATAGAAGGAGAAATCGCCATCAACAATACCCGTCAAAACTATGCACATAATTACCTACTTTAAAAATAATCTTACTTTTATATTACTTTTTGTCCGACTTTATATTCACAAAATTTGTTATTTATTCACATAAAAATATGCTATCCTTTCCAATTACTATATTCCCCGTATAGTTAATGATACTCAAATCTCCAAATTGGATAAAATGAGCATGGAACCTTTTTTCTCATTCTTTTTTTTTTTGTTTTGAAAATATACCAATCGGTTCATTGCTTCGCAACTAATCAGATTCGAGGCGAGTCCAGGATTAAGGCTTTTTTTTTTTGTAAATAGGATTAAGGCTTTAAACTCCTTCCAAAGGTGATACTGGGGGATTCAAACACATGCTGTCACCCCATCTGCTTAGCTCCAATGCGCCAACTGAGCTGCAACCATTTGGTACCTTTTTTCTCATTCTAATAATTAAACAACCAAAAACAAGGATCACGTAGCTTTTGAGATCAATTTGGTATCTGATCCCTTAAAAAACATGCGCAAAATTTTTAAAGATGAACTTCATACATATATATAAAATTACAAGAAAACTCATGTTTGGAATTTTCAATCCTATAAAGAGATATGGAGCTGAATTCTAGTTATAAAATATCTGATTAACGAAGGTTGTCCACCCCATCACAGCCTCGCCCCTCTGATTGGTAAAATCCAGATGCTCCTCAGAAGAGACTGGAGTACTACTATTTCCCATGTTCATAGAGAAGGCAATGGTGTTGGTGATAGGTTGGCATCGCTAGCTTCTCCCTCTGACTGGGATATTCATACTTTAGTTAGTGTCGGGAGGCCATGAGAAAAGATCTACTGGGGACTTCTACCCCCAGGATGATCCCGATTGTATCGTCAGGTTTATCCTGAGCCTGTTTTGTTTTTCTTCCTTTTATTCAAAATAAAAAATAAAAAATCTGCTCATAGCGAGTAATCGCTGCTTAACTACTTCCAACATACCATATGCCTTAAACAATTTCTAAATTCTAACACGAAATACTAGAAAGTATCAAACATACATCAATCAGCATGTCTTTAAATAATTGGATTTAAACTTATGATCATGTTTCTATTCAAATATCGCATGCTAATCCATGATGTACCAACTCCGTGGACTATAAGCACACTTGATGGCGATGTAAAGTTAATAGTTCTCAGCCTCATAATTTATTTTTGACATGACAAATATTAAACGATACTCTATATCGTAACTTCCTTGATGAATAAGCACGTGTCATTGTTGGACATTATGTGATTTCACTAATTCCTTCCTCAGATTTTTCACCATATCATCAATGTTTATGTTATATTCATCTTCCATCTGCAATTTAGCTGCAACATTTCAGAATTCACCAAATACAACACTAATACATTTTAGCTTGAATGTAAAGTTTTCATGTGAGCTTGTAACTATTCTTGGATAATAGACTTGAACAACATCCGTATATAATTATTTTTTTAAAGGGTTAATCTACGAAGAGAAAAAAGAGAAAAGGAAAAAATAGAATTACCCACTTTTATGTATGTCCAGGATATAAAGTTATATTTTATTTATAAGAGAGATACTAAACCTTTTTTTAATGGATTAACATTTTTCTTCCAACATGAAATAAATTTATTTCTTACAACCTCAAAACGACATAGTTTTAAGATTAAATAATGCAGGTATTTTAGTAAAATTATGATATAAGGGAAAAATAAAATTTTCAAAATACCTTGCAATTTTTTTTCTAAACCTTAAAATGACATCATTTTAAGGTTATAGTAGATAATTTTATCTCATGAAACAAGAACCCTTTTATAATTAATAAATCTCATTACTATTTATTTTACCTGAGCAATGATTGTGATTTGAAGGGTGTAAGCTCCAAATTGCAATAAGCTGCTACTGGTTATAGAGAGAGGGAGATTTGTAAGCAAATTCAGTATTTTGTACACAATGTCATTTTGCTTCTCACAATGGATTGAAATGAGCACATTCTTCTCTGAAACTCTTGCTTTAACTTCAGGGAGTGCTTTAGTGAATCTATAACCAGCCAAGTTTGTTTCACTTGTGGTCGAGTCTTCATTTATAGAGAGCTGCAATTTCTTTTGCTTCTGATTTTCTAGTTCTATTACCCGTTCTTGAAGTTGCTTCATATAATTGATTGCTTCTTGAAGTATATAAGACTTGTCTATCTAAACATATATAAGACAACTTCCAATTCATCAGTTATAAAATAATTATATACAATATCACAAGTATTATCTACCAGTGATACCAAGAAAGGGTTAGACCTTCTCAAGTTCATGCAAACATTTGTCTTAAACCTATTCAGACTTAAGAGAAAGGTAAATATAATATAAGTTTATCAGCTCAATTTAGTCTTCTAACTTTTGTACTTATTATTCCTAATGTACGAAAAAAATTTAAAGAGTTCTTCAAATATTCTAATTACGTATTAACTTGCTATCATGTTACCCTTTATAAATTAGTGTGAATTTTACTTTTTTCGCCCCTTCTCACAAAATTTTCTGGCTATTGGTACTACTATTACCAATCAGTGTGATTTGTGGTCAAAGTGTTAGAATATACTCTTCTAATGGTATTAGATTATACACTTCTTCTTGGTTCAACACTAAGGAAATTTAACCACCATTTTAATATTCAGCTAGCCCAATGCTCCTTAGCAAATTTATATGCTATCACTCAGCTCTGTTTATCCATTTTATGTAACAAAAGAAAAAGAAATATAATGCTAACATGTCCTATGCAAATATAGAGTGTGGATATTCTAACTACCAAAAATTCTCACTACTAACTTACTATCCATCACATCATCGTTGAATCAAAGAGAGAATGTTAAAAAGTGTTTGAAGAGAGATAAAATATTAATCTAATGGTGATTAGATAGGTAGTAAGTTGATAGTGAAAATTTTTGGTAGTAAGAATATCCCTCCTCGCAAATATATACTAATGTAATTATGTATATACATTCACAAAAAATAGAATATAATATGCATTATGCCTAGAATAGCAATAAATTATTTTTTTGTGATTGAAATATTACATGTTCGAATTCAGAAAAAGGTAAATAATGTATTTGAAAATATTTAAGGGTAAAACTCCAGTTTTAGTGGGGAGTGATTTTTTCGTTTTATTTCATTTTATTTTTATACTATGATGATTTGGATACTGTATTACCCAAATAAAACTTTAACTAACCTTCTTCAACCCAGGAATGATGGCTGAAAGTGCTATGAAGTTCTCAGTGAGTTTCTGTCTTCTTTTTCTCTCAGCCACAGTGTGATTTGCTGTCTCAGAAGAGCTTCTAACCTTCTTTGTATTTCCTTCTGAAGTCCTTGCCTTCAAGCTATGGTTCACTTGTGTCCTTTTGAAGGACCCCAAAGCAGAGCCATGTTTCATGTAACCTCTGTTATTGCTTATCATAGGTGGTTCTACACTTGTGTTCATCAAAGGCAAAATGTGGGTTGATAGAGAATTTTCTTCATTATTTGGTAAAGTGTCAAAAGTGGCATTTGAAAGGGTGTTTTGGACAGTGGAAAATGGAATAGAACTTTGAAAATTGGTGGTTGCAGCCTCAACAAGGGCACTAGCAGTGGCAGATTCAATTTCTGTGGTGGAAGAAAGATAGGGATAGTGGCTTATTCTATAGTTTTGATTGATCAAATTATCCTCCTCCATTTCCTACAACAATATCAAAACACCCAAAAAGAAGAGAGTAATAAATTATTATTATATACTTAAAATAAGTGCTAAATTAGTTCATGTACATAACTATGCACTTCAAAATATTTTAGTACTCTAGCTTGATGATATATAGTATAACAAATTTAATTACCAAATGAGAAATCCAGTAGTTCTCCAATGATTCTTCCATTTGAAAGCGCAATTCAGAAACACAGTTAATTAGTTGCTCTATATAAGTTCTCCCATGACCAGAAAACCTTATCTGTTGTAAAATACATTTAGATAACGTCCAAAAGTAAATTATAAGAACACCAATTTAGGCTTTTGAACATAATAACTTAAAAAGAAAATTTTTTTATCAAAATAATATCGTGAGATATGCATCGGAATATGCACGTCCAAATTGCACATGAAAATGTGAACGTTTAAGTTGTGGAAGGAAAGATACTTAACTTGAACATGGGGGAAGGGGTGTCTGCCACTTGGCAGATGCCGCAAGTCGCACATAAGGGTGTGTGCATTCAAGTCACTCATGTTATGTTGCATGACTTGCGGTGCGAGTTGTACATCTTCCTCACATGCAACGCATACATTTATGCATCTAATGGTATTATTTTGATAAAATATTTGGATTTTGAATCAATAAAAAAAAAAAAGCACCAACACCAATTTTAGGTAAGTTCTGGATCGGTAGATTGGCTTTCACGTGACCCAATTTTCTAGGTTTTGGTGTTAGTTTTTCTAAGAATATTTGTCTTATCGTTATTCACCAAATCAATCAAATCTTCTAGAAAATAATCCATGATATCACAATTGAATCAACTAATTATTCTCCCTTGATTCTACTATAATCATAAGACTTCTATCATCACGTACACCATTGTTATTGTGTTAACGAAGCATCACCATCAATCACCATGGAAGAAAGGTTCAAAGAAGAGGATTCACATTAAACATGATTTATCTATTAGAAGTATGATTTCCAATTTTAAGAAACTCTCAAAAACCATAGGAGTATTAAGAAATATACATATTATAGATTTGAAGCAATAATTGAGTTGGAATGAATAGATTTCTGAAAAATTGAGACGCGGCCCACGACACACCATCACACCATTTTCACTTAATTTTGCTTCCATTAGTCAAAAGATGCTCTTAAAAGAATGGATAATCCTAATGCTTTTGGACCTATAGGATTAGAATATACCGAAAGGGAAAAAAGATTAACGAAATAAAGTTAATTTTTTCTTTGCTTAAAAAATTAAGAACAAAATGACACTATATTATCTTAATTGATAGCTAAATTACAAAAAAAATTAAAAAAATTATTTATCCAAAGAAGTTGTTCGACAAGGCATGATTTGACACATTTGGTGAAATAGGATTTCTTTGCCGTTCCTCCACACAGATTAAAACAAAATGTGATCCACGACATGAAATCATGAATGCGACAGAAAATATACGTGAAATCTATAGAAAGTTAAGAACAGTCGTATTTGATAGAATTTGCAAGGAGCACTTAAAAAAGAGTCTTATATATACGAAGATATCTTCTTGGATGCTATTTTTTATTTTGCTTTTCTAATTTTATATATGTTCTTAATTAGGTGTAATAGTAAAGTCTAAATGTGCAATCAATGATGAATTTGATGTATCAATATAAGGATTTTGATATGTAACTTTATGAGAAATAAGTAATCAGTGTTTAATGAAATATTTTAGGTGGGGAAGAGGGTAGGAGATAAGCTTCTAGAGTGTATAATCTGGGTATATGATGTTCAACATTTTGCGTATGCATGTAGTGGTCTTATATAGTTGTTGATGGTGTAGTGAGCGTGATGAATTTCAGTAATAAGGGGCACACCGAGACTAAGGTGTCGCTGCATTAGAATCATCACTTTATTTTTTTTTATTTTTTGGTAGATTAGAATCATCACTTTAGGGGATGGGATGCTGTGCATTTAATATTAATGTAAAGCTTGACCTCCATAACAATATATAGACAACTAAAAAAAAACACTATATCATCAATTGTGTATTGTACTTATTAGCATTAATTTATAGTAAAATCTAAACTTTAGAGATGTAAACTTTTATATTTACATGAACTTTCTCTTATTCTGACAACTTTATATTCTTTAGGATATAAAATCATGAAACAATAAATTAATCCCCAATTTAGAAGAAATTATTAAATAGTACAACTTTATAGTGCAACTTTTTAGAACTTTACAGTACAACTGTGTTCTTTCTTTCTTTTTTTGGCAACAGGCAAACTTTTTTTTGGATGCTTTTGTTATCTTCAAAACCCCTTTTATGATTTAAAAGAATTCAAGCCTCAATTTGTTGATTCATGTTTATGAAGTATCAAGATTGCCATTGATATTATAATACATGATGTGTTTGGTTCAATATTATTCATGCTCAATAATGCGGCTACTTAATTAATTAATAATATTAGCAAAAAGAGTAGTAACTTTTACACTAATATGAAGGCACTCATTTGATACACATTAAATTTAAGAAAAAACTTCATGACCCAAACTTTAATTTATAATACAAATTAATAGATATCAACTAATTAACTCTAACATAAAAAATTAAAATATTTTTAAAATTTTAAAATTTTTAAAGAAGTTAATAGATATTAACTTTCGTTTTAAAATATTTTAAAAATATTATTTTATTTATCACTTTAAATTTTTAAAAAGTATTAATTTTTCATTTTTTATTTCTTCATATTTCTACGAAGCAAAGTGATACAAAACATAAATAAAGTATGAGAGAAATGAAATAAAAATTTTAATTATATTTTCTTAAGGAAACGATGAAGATAATAATAACAAATTTTATTATGGCTTATAAATTGAATGATGAATCCAATACTTAACACTGAAATACATTAAAAAATAGATAAAAACAACTCATATAATAACTTTAGAACATCAAGCATCTCTACTCATCAAAATTAAACCACGCCTGCTGGTGGAACATTCCGTATATAGAAAAAAAATATTTCTTTTAAAGGATATATCTTTGTGTCATTTTAGATCCTAACAGTTGATTTCTGTCAATCAACGGTTAGGATTTATTGGATTTTATTTCAAATTACTAATTAATTAATAAATGTGACATAATAAATCCTAACCGTTGATTGACGAAAATCAACGGTTAGAATCTAAAATGACATAAAATTATATCTTTTAAAAGGATAAATATTTTTCCATGTATATTGATATGAAAATATAATAGGCACAAACAAAGACAAAAACCCAAAGATTAAGACCCATAAACAAGGGCCCAAAACAATGCGCGCAAAGGATCAGGAGGTGCGATGGCTTCATCGCGCCCAAACTTCCTTTAATACGACTTCAAAGTGAAGGAAGTGATCAAATAGATAAAAGGTCACCGCGCCAAAGAACCAATACACGAAAGATAGTTTCAGCTTGTCACTGCTCTATCAAAATAGCTTGACATAATGAGATAAGGCCAGAGTGGCATCAGTTGAACCTGCAACCCATCTACAACCAATCAGAAGACACAGTGCCTATCAAAGGCGGCATCAGATTCACTATATAAACAAAGGGTACATACCCAGGTATGATAATCTAATTCAGCAAAAATACCACATAAGTCTGACTTTGGTACTGACTTGAGTGTCAGAGTGTCATTGCAGGTACCCCCAATCAGGATCATCGCGCCAAAGGAGAATCGTATCCATCGTATTATCAACAACTATCAACAGCTCAGAAAACAGATAACCCAATCTAAAGTCTTCTCACATCAACCGTGTGTGACCAGGCCCGGTACATATTGGTCATCCCATATTATATTGATCCGATCATATATTTTCATAAAAATATTTATTATTACTCTTATTGATTTACTCCTCTCCAATTATTTCAGAATGGTAGTAATTTTGCTCGATTAAGCAAGAGTGGAGATGTACTCAAAACTAAATAAACTCAATCAAAACCAAAAATATTAAAGTTAATATTGAAAATTCAATAAAATAATAAAAGTTTAATTAGGTTAGATTGATTTTTGGATCTAAATTTAAAGAACTGATGTAATCCATTTCGAACTAAAATTATGCACACACAACTTTCATATTATATACACTTAGGTACACAATTTTTATATGTTTTGATAAATTCTCTTAGATTTATATTAATTTATTCTGATTAATTTATATATTTTTTTGTTTTGAAGAATTTATATATAAAAAATTATATGAAACAATTTAAAAATGGATCCAATTTATACATGGATTGGATTGAATTAAAGTTTACAATTTCAACTAAAGCAATTGCATAATATGCCAATGAGAGGTGACGTAACCGATTGAACTTTCGGCCCTCGCTATCCGTGACTTGATTTGATTCTCATATTTTTTTTCTTTGATAAGTAATATATAATATAATTTTAAATCCTCACTGAGGTTTGTGATATACGGATTCAATTCTCAATATTTTCTTTGATAAGTAATATATAATTCTATTTTAAATCCTTATTAAGGTCGGTGATTTCCTTACTTTTATGAAGGTTTCTCTCCTAATCTAAACTATTGTATGTTGTCATCATTTTCCCACCATTGCAATCAATGCAAGCCAGAAGTGGGTCAAGGGGTTCACTAGTGTAGGCCATAACACCAATTTAGAATCAGATACATACCCAATTTTTTTTATTTTTTTTTTGGTAAAAAGATACATACCCAAATTAACATGTAGACATTCTTACAATTAGGGAAGTCAGTTACAATTATATACTAACACCAAAATACATTAGTTTAGCATTTTATGTCATGAAAATTTTTAACTCTCTGAAATCAGAAGATCAAGAAAATTTACTGGATAAAATGGTGTATCAAGCATTTTAATGTAAGTAATACTTGGTGTATAGGGTTTCCTCATGAGATGTATTAAAAAAAAAAAAAATATTCATGAGATTGTTCCTCATTCCTAGGGAGATGATAAATCCATATCAATAAACATTTCCTCTGCTTCATCAGAGGGTAATCCATCCTCCCATTCCATTTCGCTTCCACAAGCAGAAAACACTGTCTTCTTCAACTGGCCCAGAGTATTGCTAGTTGCACCTTCTTCAGGTGCAATGTCCCCATTATCATCTGGAACACCATCAAATATGCTTAAAAAATCATTAGGTGCATGCAAGCCAGGGTAATCCTGATAACAGTCATGATTCTCCTCCATAAGATAATTCTTTACATCTTTTCCTTTCACATGCACATCATATTTCTTCTTGATGTGGCCATGCTTTTGAGCAATTTCCCTGTGCCAAGGTGTCCAGTCAGGGCGACTCCAAAGGTAGAGAGGTGGTGGCTTCTGGTTCCAATCTTCCAATTGCTTGTCACGTATATCAACAGAACCAGGTAGATAAAATGACTGGACGAATAAGCAAAATGCAAAAGATAAGCTACTTTATGTGTTCATGACTTCCTACAATCTTGGGATTGAAATTGTTAGAGAAATATAAAACTATTGACGTGGCTTTCACCTAACACTAACAGCTTCAACATTTAGGTGAAGTGGTTGTTTATCATGGTATCAAAGCCGACTAACTGGTCATGAGTTTGATCCTCACCAGTCACCGCCTCCCACTCTTCTAATAAATATTTAATTATGAAATTTCTTAACATAGATAGGTGCATTATCCACCATTCAAGCTCAATAAGCTCGTCTGAGGAAGCATGTTATAGAAATATAAAACTACTAATGTGATTTTCACTTAACAACTTGAGATTTTAAGTGAAGTGCTTGCTTATCAGAAATCATGGAATTTTTGCCCACTCACCTTTCCTGAGAGCAGCTCATCATCCTCCCAAATTAAATCATATCCACCTTTCTTTCTGTCTAATCTGGACAAATAGAAACAAGTAGTAGAGACATGAGTTTTTTCTCATTATATCAGAAACACCAGGACATAAAATGAAACAAAACTAACCGTTTAGTTACTTTTGGCACAATGAGTATAAGGAGTTTTGGCTTAAACGTCAATGCCTTGTCAATAAATTTGTTAGCTAGATAACCCTTAACTCCAAAAGGAGGATTCAGCCCTATGATCTGGTCAAGCATCAACAATGCAAATGAAAAGAACTTAACAAAGATATTAAACATTAGGTATCCATATGTCTATATAAAATATGAAGCAAAAGCTTTAGGGTCTTACAAGTTGAGAACCATTGGGTAATTCTTCGGCATTGACACTCATCCAATCTCTCTTTTCAAAGTTGAAATCATTCTACAAGCAGAAGGACTCCCTTAGCAATAAAAGGCAAGTTTGTAGTAGGGAAAAGGGGAGAAAAAAAAAGGAAGATTACAAATCTACTGCAGGAACAAACTAATATTATAAGCATCTTGCAGCCATAAATTTGAAGCAGGAAGCAACCACAAACGAAAGCAATAACTATACCATGTATAACTTTACAAGAAAGCCCAACAGACACCGAATGAAGTCATTTACAAGCATCGTTACATTTAGGCTTAGACATTGCACATGACCTTTAATACCTTAAGGCAAAGTAACTGTTAGCTGAACCAAAAAATGCAGATGAATCTGCCTATTGACTAGGCATTTCTTGCATTAAGATTATAACTAAAGCTACAATATCTCTAAAACTTACTGGTATCCAACAAGGGCGCAAAAGATGAGAAACAATTTCCCTATGAAAGTATAACCAAATTTAATAACTTATTTAGGTAATAGATCCTAGAACAGATCTAAAATAGCCATTTGTTTGTCACTGTTAATCCTCCAAACAAAACAAAGACATAATTGAACACCCACATCCAATATACTGATATGTTAATCCATGAGAAATTATCTCCACAAAATATGCACAGGACCCACAAATTTATGCAGTCCACCTTTAACCTGGAGCATTCCCACTTCAAAGAAATTCTATTACATTGTGACCTCAAGAGTATGAATTTGAGTTGAGTTTCCAAATGACAGACACATCCATAACATTTACAAAACATTGTCCTCAACAGATTAGATCTTTATTTTTATTTTTTTGGTAGTTTCAACAGACTAGATCTTATCTAACTGCAAAAGAGGTTAACTGGAAAAGGCGCCAATAGAGCAAAAAATGTACCTTGGCTTGGAATAAATCATAATTCTTGAACGAACACAACTTCCCCATCTGTTCAAGCTTTGATTTCATTAAACAACTGAAGTCATTAGAACCACAACAGAAGTCTAAAACCTGGCAAGGATACCACAGAAGTATTGACTATGCAAGTTAGTTGAAACAATGATTAAATCAATTGAAATTTCCAGCAACAGTCGTTCATGTAAAAAGAATTTGTCACATCCAAACAAAATTTATCAACTTGAGAGGTTCTATAACAAATGAACGTTACAAAATTTTGATTCCAATATCTTGTTCCAATAAGTTATAGGAATTTACACGCCTTCAAAGTAGTGATATTATTATTCACTGGAAAGGACCCAATTAATTCATATGCTCCAGGCAACATCATGATCTGTAGCCTAGCATTAGTATGCATCAACATTGTTGAATAACAAGGAAACGATAGGCATATCTTTCGAGCTTCTGGACTCCAATATCAGCACATTCAAAATGGTATACAAAGTTAAACGCAGTATACTTCTATAAAATAATATCAATTACATATTGACAAAAGAAAACAAAACGAAATAAAGTATGTATTACCAAAATAGAGAAGCAAAGAGGACAAACACATACCGTGTCACCATTTTGCACATACCAATGAAGCCTATCAACAATCTGTATTAGAAAGCGCTAATATTATAAGCAAGAGCTTCAAAAAGTAAAAGCATTGGAATGTTTATCTATTAAAGTTATTTGTAGAATTTTAATTCATAAAATCATTATTTACAATCAATTGTCCTTGAGGCTAAGAGTAAAGGGAATAGCAAACTTCGAAATTCAGGCATCTAATTTACTGATTATTCGGATACAACGAAGCCGTTCGTGTTGTTTGATAAATATGAACTATATGATTCTTATATAATAACTATACAATAGTCTTGACTTATGTACAACTCTTGTTATTTTGCATGACCATGGGGAATCAAATGATAAAAATCCAAAGATAAGACAATAATTAGGTTGACAAGCGCAGACACACATGCACAAAAGCATAAATTTTAATGTCTATCTATCCTGTATAGGTCAAGCAAAAGAACCTGAGAAATGTAACAAGTGTTCAGTTTTTTGGACAACCAATTCCTGAAAAAAAAATATCAGAAAGAACATATTTACCTCCTTCAGCTTGTCTATTTTAGTGAAATGACGACCAAAGGAAGTATATCGCATTCCATGAAGAAAAGGTGCAAGATAGACCTTAAGCTGCTTCTGCAAGTGAATTAATAATCCGAATCATATACTCGAGGTATTTAATGTTTTCTTCAAATATACAGTCATTCATGTCTCTAATACTAATAAATAAGCTTTTCTATGACGCTGAAAATTATTATAAAACACAAAAGAACAGGCTTAATACAGTTATGATTAAACTTGTAATGCCAAAAAATATAGTGTTTGCATGAGTTTGTGCATGTGTTAAACAAAATGCTTATAAATACTGTTGAAATTATGGGGAAAGGGTGAAAAAGAGAGAAAAGAAGGTCTAAATAATATTCTGAAATGTGTATGATACAACAAACCACTAACACCTATTTATAATAATAATCTACCTCAAGTACTGGTTTATTACAAGTATACAACCAGCACATGCCCAGTCCAATAAGACTACTAGCTGCTATTTGCATTATCTTACAGTCAAGCTCAGTAAACGCAGAATTGAAACTCATGCTTTGGAATTATGGAAAGGTATTTAGAATAACTCTTTTCAACCTGCCAAATAAAAATCTGACAGAGGATCCCTGGCTCACAAATAGCTTTTGCTTCCTCAATACTACATCCTTCATTTAACCTCTGTAAAGCTGTTTGTATAGCCTGGAACAAAGCCATAGATGATAGATCCCATAAGTAGAAGAATAATAGCTAATTAGGTATTTGAACTTAACATGCTCAGATTCCATTTGACATCAGTGCTGATAGCTACATTCAAGTGGTAAAAATAAGACAAACCTTAACAGAGCTCTCTACTTTTCCCTGAGTAAGGTTTTTATCAAATACAGTTTCTGTGAAACATGAACTTCTACTGAAGACATGATAGTTCATTTTGAATTCTTCTTCATTAAATGCAGACTTGGATTCCTTCCACAAAGACAAAATTCTGCATAGCAGTATTGTCCAAATGTAAACAGCTGAACTTGAAAATCAATCTTTTTCTTTAATTAATCCAATAAAAAGCACAATCATATGACAATACACATAAAATACCGGTTTTCCATATCAGCATTGGTAAAGTTGAGTGAAGTTTGGACATTTTTCAACAGAGGCTTCTCCAAGCTTGTTTGTTCGATTCTTCCACCAACCAATTTTTGCTGCTGAGATCTACCTTGATGTAATCTTGAACTACAGTGCAAGTTATCATTTCTCAAAGACAACCTTTTTTCCAGGAAGGAGGACCTATTGGACTCGGACAAATTTTCAACCTTCAAATTTTTTCTAACCATGTCAATCTTGATTGATCCAGTTGAGAAACCTATATCTTTCTTAAAACATATTTCCTCCATAACTTTGGCAGAACCACCACTTTGGATGCTAACACTTTCCTTTGTAACCTGGTTTGGTACCAATTTCTTCTTAGGACGAAGATCTTCAGTACTTCGCCTCGATGTTATAGTAACCTCTTTGCCTAATAATTTGATACTGCATATCTTCCTTTTGACATCCATATCAGGGAATACCAGTTGGTCTCTAGCAGGAGTCCCAAGTTCCCTAACTATGTCATGATCCCTGAACAACAATGGGTTGGAAATGTAGTGTTAGGCCTCATAAAACTACTACTATGAGGTCAATGTAAGGGGAAGAAAAGGAATTTGGACTAGAAAGGGCTGTAACAACCTTGTCTGCATGGCAAGGAGAGTGGGAAAGGGAGGGAAACGGTTAGGAGTAAGGATAAAAGGGGAGAGAAGGGTCTAGAAAAGGTAGGCAAGAACAAGAACTGAGTAAGGTGGAAAAATATTGGGATTGCTGGGATATTCTGTGTCTGCAGAATATCCTTTGTTATTTTCTTTCTTTTCCTGCATTTTCATTGTGATTTCATCCTCAACAGAGGGCTACCTCTGCTATTAAGGATCTTGGTCTCCATTATTTCTACTCTAACTACAAGTTACTATCATATAGCCTAAGGAGATATCCACAATCCAAACACATTTTCAATATCCAATTATTGAAACACTAACAACTTACATGCAATACATCAAAATTCGACGGTCAAGTAGACCATTCCAAGCCCTCTGCTCAATGCCCTTATCATAATCAAATGTGAAGGAAATTTCCCTGAAGCAAGTAATAGAGACAATGAGACATGTAGAAGCATGCATGAGCATGTACAAAGAAGAATTATATAGAGAGTTTTTAACAAAGGCACATAATACTGTTAACATGAATAACTGCAAACAAAAACAATAGATAAAAAAGAAAAAGAAATGTTAACAAGAGAAACCTACTTTGGCAAGCATTTCCTGTGGTAAGCCTTAGGGCAGCGTCTACACATTGCAAACTGTAAATCATGAACATTTATATTTTCACCTTTTCTGCATAGAGAACATATATGAAGAGGACAGACAAATGTTTTTGCAATGGCAATTCTCTTTCTCATTTCCTCTTGTTCAGTGTCAATGCCAGGGGAGAATAGCCTTGCAACACATTCAGGATGGTAGTACCGACCACAATTTGCAGTAACACAAGGAAATACCTAGAAAGAAACAAGAGTGAAATTTTATGCGCATTTTACAAATTTATAAAGCAAAAAACAAGTGAATTAGTTTCAACGTTTAAAACAAATTTACACTGCAGACTACAAAGAATAAAAAGGCCTAAAGAATATGAACAAATCAAAGTTGTGTAATATGTGTAGAGCCGGCAAATTGGACTCGGCTCGGCGGCCAACCCGCCTAACCCGTCAAACGGGGCGGGGCGGGCTGAGTTTTTCAACCCATCTCACAAACGGGGCGGGGTGGGGCGGCTCATTTTTTGGCGGGTTGACGGCAGGCATAGGCGGGCCGAGGCGGGTCAGTGTAAAATAGGCTAGGGCTGGCGAGCCAACCCGACAAACGGGACGGGGCGAGCTGAGTTTTTCAGCCCACTTTCAAAAGCGAGGCGGGGTGGGCTGACTCATTTTTTGACGGGTTGATGGCGGGGTGGGGCGGGGCAGGGCAGGGCAGGCTGCTCACTTTGCCACCTCTAAATATGTGCAAGAAGTTTGGGGGGGGGGGGGGGGGGGGACAATAAAAATATGCAGATGCTTATGACAGATTCATAGGATACCATTGGCTTATTTCCAAAAGTTAGAAAAAATATTTATCTTCGGGTGTGTTCAAATTTACATGTATCAACAAATGAAATAATCAATAATATAATTATGCAGAACAAGATATAAGATACCTTGATACCACCGGGTTAAACTAAACACTGGTTGGATACGTGGATTACAATACAAATACGTCAGAGCCATGAGAGTCTGATAAGTAATAATATCAATTTGCAACCCAATATATGAATAATATTAAGAGTGACTTAGCAAGTAAACTAGCACAAAAAGTTTATTTTTTATTTTTTAAATTCTATCTCCTCACTAAATATAATGTTTGTATTGGTGACAGGACCCTCAAATTCACATGGGCATATTTATTTGGTTGAGAGGTACCGAGAATCCTATAGCATCGATGTTCAAGGCACTTTGTTCTTCCTCCTTGATTTATAAATTCAAGCGGTTCATTATTCCATATGATTACGTAGGAAACTAATCATTCAAACATACTGGAAAATGGAGAAAATTCATTTAATTTCAGCTAATGCACATCCCATCATTCAATGTATGAGATTCATGACTTTGGCTTCTCACCAATGTATACCTACTAAAATCAAGCATGATAAATTCAACACTAGATGCCATGACATGACCCTTTCAACATCCATAAGTACTTCCCCTGTGTTCCTTCACTGCAGCTTCCACCTCTTTTTTCATAGAAATACTTCATTTAATGCTTCTTGGATCCATTTTTATGTAGACAGTCATAATCATTTAGAATAATGGTATGATAAATCAACTTAGAAAGATTTGCTACCAGTCCAATGTCAAATGGTCAGAAAACAAATGAAACAAAGGATCCAAACATTTTTAAATACCCCATTTTTGCACAAAAATAATGAATTTCTTCTGGACTCTAACTAATAAGAGAAATAAAACCCATGGAGAAGAAAAAACTAATGGCATGTATACTTGGATGTTATACATATGCATACCTTGAGGCTAAGAAAGACGAGATACATTGTATATACATATGAAAGCTAAACTGTATCTGACGTATACCTCTGCATTAGATGATACATCAGATGAACCCAATTTGCCACATGCAAAGCATTGATGCTGCTTATACTTACAATTTTTGCAGTAGAAGTTTGGAAAGGCCTGCAAAGTTAAGATTTGGTTTTATGAAGCGATAATTGAAATTAATGAAAAATCATGCTAACACTGAGTATGGGAATTCATCATGAAATGGAAAGGAAAGTGGAGGGGAAAGAGAAGTGAGGAAAAGGGAAGGGAAAAAAGATATTTGACATCACCTTGTTTGAATGTGCTAATAAAAAATACTCATTTCTCCTTAATAAAAAATACTATTTTCATAGGATTATTTATTTCTGCTCATAGAGTGAGTAGAATTAGCTACCCTTCCTAATTAAAAAATACTTCCAAACAATAATCAAATGTTCTGTCCGTCCTATTCTTTTCTTTCCTTTCATTCCCCCTAATCAAAACATAGTGACAGAAGATGGGAGACACAGTGCTTACATTAACTTGAGTATTAGTGTAGCCAAGAGATTCACAAAATGATTCTCTACCATCCTCTTTGGCTGCATGGAAGGATCTTAGACATCTCCCTTCACAACTGTATCATTAAAACAAAAATAAATAAATAAAAATCACTCCCCGTTAAACCCCGACTAGCGAAGGTAGGGATGAGGGCAATAAAACAAAAAATAAATACTTAAGTAAAAAAAAAGGTTAATTCTCATCAATGAAGGATGGTAAGCAAAGAAAAGTAATTCTTTATGGGCATAGACTTGTAAGGTAAAGACATACGGAAGTATATCACCGCCATTATCACATATTGCACAAACAGTATCATAACCAATATATTGCTCTCCATCGGTATTCAGTTCACCATCAGATTCATTGTTCACCTCCTTCTCTGCGTCAAGTATAAATTTTGATTTCTTTGTAGTTTGAACATCCTGCTAATTAACCAACATAATCTTGAACAAGACAAAAACTTGAATGATTATATACAGAAAAAGAAAAAAGAGAGTAAAATTCTACACTGACCTCATGAAAGCCTTCATTTGAACACGCCTTTTCTATGAGGTTAAGCAGGTACTGCCCATTAAAGTAAACAAAACTTAGGGAAAAATGTTACAGTTACTGTGAGTTCAAAGATACTTGGCTCAAGTTAAACATAAAATTAGTTCATAATGGACAAAGATCAACAAGTAAGTTATTGAAAACTCTATTCCCTCTAATATATTCTAATTGTAATAAAAATAATGCAGGAGTATGAACCTTGGATTTTGTTAAATCTTTGTCCCTTTTAGCAGCCTCTCTAATAAATGTAACATGATTTAGAACATCATCCTCAGAAGGTGTAACATCAAATGAGCTGCAAAACAGACATGTCATTAATGAATAAAATTTGAATCAGGAAGATCAGAAATCTGCAAAGGACAAAAGAAAATGCATACCTAAAGGCATTGAGTATTTTGCTCCAAATTGATATTCTAGATTCCTCTGGACTCCATTTCACAAAATGCAGCCAATATACTGTAACCAAGACTCTCCTAATTGTACTTTCAAAACACTTTCTTGGTCTTTGGAGAGTTATCCAGTTTTTGTCCTTCAAAAGCACTGAAATCTCAGGCTGCTCAAAGGAAAGGTCAAATCTCCATCCTATAATCTGTTTGTAAATTTTCTGGAGGCCATCATCAGTGGTGCCACGCAAATATACTTTTGTTGCCAAGTCACATTTGATCTCACTAATACTCCACAATAATGTCAAACTAGAAAGTGACACAAATTCTGCCTTATCATTTTCAAACCAGTAACTATTAACAAAATCTGGGACAATCTCACCCTCTTCATCCGATGATGCCATTAGATGTATATTAAATATGTCCAAAAAATCTGTGTAATATGAATCATGTAAGTTTTAGTAGTCCATCACTTTCCAAGGGAACAACTATAGTGTCATATGCAAAAAATATGACGTATAATCAGACATGAGACTTAGAACATGCAGAAACTAGCATCATTCAGAATAAAATATTCAACTTTCTACCTTTTGACACTGTAAACACAATTAATCTATGTTGACCTGTTATTATAAAAGTAAATAATTGTATTTGGTATGATTTTAGAAAAGTGAGCATGCATGAAAGGAGAAAGGAGAAAGGAAAGGAAGGGCAAACCCCAATGCACAAAGCTCCCTTGCAACCTTACCGCTGTCCCAAAACTCGTCCTTGAAGAAGAAAAAAAAAAAAAAAAAAAACTAAACATATTACAAACTCACCCCCACACAAAGCTGAAACTCAATTTTTTTCATATTAGAAGAATGGGTGAAAGGATAAAACTCTAGACCACTTGATCAGAGAAGCTCCGGTACCATGTGATGAATTAACTCTCTGAGAAGCTTAAGCTATTGGACGAAGACACATGAATAATTTATATTATATTTAACAAGAATCCAACATTTAACAAACAGAAAAACCAGGTCAAAGAGGTTGCAAGAGCAACCCATAAAATGATTCTGTTCGGCTGTCAAGAAAATAAGACAGACATTTCATCCATGTCATTCAACTTCATCAGAAAATGAACAAAACCATTAAGTTTTCCTATTATTAAAGTGCATGTATTAAAAACTATGTCAGTCCCTGCTTCCTCACTTCAATACAACTACAAGAAAAACACATAATCCACACAACCCTCAAATGTAAAAAAAAAAAAAAAAAAAAGTTTGAATCTTTTTTTTTTAGGGAGGATATTTTGACTACCAAAAATTTCCACTACCACCTTACTACCTATCTAATCACCATTGGATTAACATTTTCTCTCTCTTCAAAAACTTTTTAACATTCTCTCTCTTTGATCCAATGGTGATTTGATAGGTAGTAAGGTGGTAGTGAATACTCTTGGTAGTCAAAATATCCCCTTTTTTTTTTTACTTAAATTTTTTATTCTCTCAATTTTATTTTATTTTTACTTCATATTAGGGTTGATACTAGTTTAAGATAAAAAAAAATGTTAATGTCGATACATAATCCATTTTCTACATGCTTTTCAAGTTCAGAGAAACCACAATGTTAAAATGAAATATATCCTGCGAAAGAATAAGAAATCTTATTTTAGATATAATTAAAATAAAATACACATAGACAAAGTGAAATGAGAACTTACACAAGAAGTTCAAAAGCTTGAAATGTAGGAGCCCAGTTTTTCTCTTAATTTGATAACGTGAAGAAGAAGAAGAAGAGGATGGTTTTGAATTATTTTTTTGTCCACTGTGAGCATACACTGTATGAGTGTTTTTAAGAGGAAACTTGCCCAGTAAGTACCCTTATATTTTCCATTCCCGTTTCAATTTTCGTTTTGTTTTGTAGCGAATTTTTGGAAAGGCCGTTATCATAGTATTGTTCGACGATCAGACTCGTATCGTGTTGGGACCACTACTGTTATAAAAAACCTGTATCGTTCAACGATCACACTCGTAGCATGTCCGGATCACTCTTATAAAAACCGATGTTTTGTTTTGTAGCGAATTTTTGCATGGAAAAAATATTTGTGCTTTTAATAGTTGTTATTTTAAAAAGGGAAAAAAGTTTCCGATGTTATTTTAATAGTTATGTTCATTGAAACGACGTTGTTTTTGGGTTGAAAAATTAAAAAATTAAAGTGATAAAGATTATTATAATCCTGAAATAAATTAAAATTACAAAAATACAATGATTTCCATCCCAAAACGATGTCGTTTTGATGAACATTAGATAAAATTATCTAAAGTAACATCCGAAAAAACAAACCCTTTTAAAAAAGAGTAAATATTCTTTTTGGTCTCTAACAAAAAAAAACACGGTCCCACTTTAGTCCCTTACAAAAAAAATTAGTCGGTTGGTTCCTATGAAATTCAAAGTGAACCCATTTTAGTCATTTTGAGGGACTAATGTGAGTCTTTTTTGTATTTGAGGGACTACGATTTCAACTAAATGAGTCCACTTTAAATTTGTTAGGGACCTCGAGACTAATTTTTTTTTGTAAGGGATTAAAGTGGAAACCGTGTTTTTTGTTAGAAACAAAAAATGATATTTACTCTTTAAAAAAACAAAAAAGATATAACTTGATATTTTTTATTTAAAATTTAAATTTTAAAAAATATTTAATTTTTTTCTATAATTTTTATTACTTATATCTTTTTCTCGTTTAAAATAACATAATTTTGTATCCTTTAGAAGGGTAAAAAAAAAAAACCCTTTCTTGAAAAGGCCATTATCATAGTTTTATTGTTCAAACATTGGTGTATAGGTGCTCCTTTTTACTAAAAGGAGAAGTTTTTCCCTTTCTTTCATTCATTTTTTTATATGTAACGCTAATTGGCTATTTTGATCCGACGGTCCTGATTTGATCAATATATAGCCCTTCTCTCACTTCTCCCTTCTTTCTCTTCCAGTGGCGAACCCAATAAGTTTTTTTTATGTCTGCACACTTAGGGGCGGGGGTTCGGAGGTGGCCCCGAATTTTTTTTGTAAAGATCATGATCCAATTTTTGCTTTCACTCTAAAAGTAAAACTTTGGCGAATAAACCAAAATTTTAAAGAAATAGATAATGATACTTAATAAAAAATAAACACCACAAAAAGACATTTGTACAATATAGTATAATTGTAGGGTTAATCAATCAAAAACCATCTCTGTTTATGCCAATCAATCAAAAAGTAATTGTGAGGGACCACGATTTCAACTAAATGAGTGCACTTTGAATTTGTTAGGGACCTCGAGATTATTTTTTTTTGTAAGTGACTAAAGTGGGATTATATTTTTTGTTAGGGATCAAAAATGATATTTACTTTTTTTTTTTTACTTGACCACCCACCCATGAAAAAAAAAATCTCTAACTTTATGTCTGCAATTGCAGACACTTGCAACCAAGCAAGTCCGTCGTTGCTCTCTTCTCTTCTCTCTGACTATACTCTCTAGTCTCTACCGTTGACGCCGCTGTTTCCCGTAGCCGCCGCCCTTAATCCCTCTTTGAGTTGTGCGCCCCTCTCTCTACCGCCGGACAATTTTGCATCAGATTCATTCTGCTTTCATTTCCTTATAGACGCTTTTTATCTCATCCATCGTATTCAGTCCTGTCTTTTTTAATTTCTATTTCTTAATTTCCACATTTTACCAATTGTTGGAACGTTTTTCACGATAATCATACTTCAGAGCATTTTGTGATTTGTAACTTGTTTTATAAATTGTGAACTTGTATATCCTTTGCCTCCTACATACCTGGTACATTGTTTTGAACTAGAATGACAAAAATTGTATTTTAAATTTTTAATAGAAGTTTGTCGAATTCCACTAATGTTTTGGAGTACACGGTTCTTCCTTTGTGAAAATATGCATAATACAAAATAAGTTCTCAATGATTACTGTTCAGTAATTGGATTTTCAGCTACTTTTTTTTGTAATTGATCAGTCAGAGAGAAGGGAAGAGAGAGAAGAGGGAGAGAGAAAGGCTATATATTGATCAAATTAGGACTGTCGGATCAAAATAACCAATTAACGGTGAGATTGATTGGTAATAACATGGTATTAACTCTACTTGGTTGTTACAATATCCTACCCCTTTGCTTTTAATTTTAAAAGAGTTCTCTTTTTAGTAAAAAAAGGCATCGAGTTTGGTATTATCGGTGCACCAAAGTTTTTCTCCACATTCGAAGCATGTTTGGATCATTGTTATAAAAATTGATCCGACCTGATTGGTTCGACTAGTTGATCCATAAATGGACCCTAACTGGTTCAGTTTAAGTATTGGATCTATTATAGAATAGTGTAAATCATTAAAAAGTTCTCACCACAAGCGTAAGTTTTTTGGTTGAATTGATTCTTTATAGAGTATCAGAGTCTGATTGTCACGGGTTCGATCCTCACTATAACACCTCGTAAATCTAAATATGAAATTATATGCTATAATGTGGGTTAAAAGGGAAGGATTAGTGAAAATCCGGAAATTAAGGTCAAACTAGGTGAAAATGGCAAAATGGTAAATTACCAAACACGTAACCCGAGGCATGAAAAAATTGAGTAGAAGACCTCAAATGATAAAAATAATGCCGGAAATGGATTCAGGACGAAAAATCGAGTGAATAGGCAAGTTTTGAAAATTTTGATGAATAGTGATTTTACCGGTGTAAAAATACTGCGCTATAATGGTACCGATAAGAGTGAAATTTTTATCAGTATTTTTAGGAAACAAAAATATGTCTTGAACCAGAAAAATATTTAGATTATGAATTTGTGATCGGAATTAGGTGATTGATCAAAGTTAAATCGCGTGTGGGACCCACTCAACCCAAAACCACTTAAGTTCCTTTAAATTCCCTCAATCTCACGATCTCTCTCTCTCATTTTCCTTTCTTCCCTGCGTGAGTTCTCTTTCCCATTGAAGGCTTTCAAGCTTTCATTTCAAACTATCACTTCCCTTGACCAAATCCTTTGAAATTTATAATGAAATTCATTGGAAAACCTATTCTAAAGCCATTGGTGATACTCTCTAGCCTTGAAATCGCTTGTTGGAGGGGTTGTGGCTTATGGAAAAATTTGAAAATTGGGGAAAGAGGATGTTCATGGAGGCAATGGGCCTCTAGTTGCTTGGTGAAGCCTTGGTGGAGTGTCTAGAGTCGTTTGTGAGTATATTTACATAGTTTTATGGTTGATTTCATCGATCAAAATATATAAACCCTATTCTTGAAATTGTTGATTTATGATGATTGGAGGTTCAAATGGAAAAAATTGCATTACTAAAAATGTCTTAGAATGACATGATTGAGTTAGAAATGCTATAAAACTTTAGGTGAAAATGTTGAGTTTTTAACTTAGAAAATTAAGTGTCAT